TGTAGGACAAGGTCATTGTCAAGGTCATAGTTCAACCAGCCCCTTCATATCCAACAATTTTTGTTTTAAACATTTTTTTATTTAATCGCGATGTTTCGAGTTATTTGGCTGTCTAAGTTAAAATGGGTCACCCTGTATAATTATGTCTTACATTAGGACAGAACAGAAGTTCGTAGCGTCATAAACTTCTAAATTAAAACAATTGTAATTTCGAAAAAAAAAGAATTAAGTTTAAATAAAAAAGGAGTTTTATATATAAAGTTAGTTATCTTTATACTTCTGAAAGATCACTATGACTTTTCAGTTTCTGGGAGTTTGGTAACTTTTGCATATAAGAAGCTACGAGCTGAACAAAATAGGAAATTTCCTTTTCACTTTGTGGGTCTGTCAAAAAAACTTGCCAAAATTTTCGACTTTCTAACGTAAAAGTTTAAAGTTTTCCTTACAAATTTTTAAAAACTTTCTAATATGTTTTGTTACTGAATTATCGTAGTTTAAAAAGAGCATTTTGATTGAGATTGCTCATAATTCCGTTATAAATAATTGTACTGCAATTCAAAGAACAAATTCTTATAGCTGAAGTTTTGCTCTATCGAATATATAATTGCCAATTTTTTTAAAAAGCATCTAGAAATGATAGTAAAAATGAAGTAACGCTACAAACTTTCGTTCCACTCCAATACATTTATTTCAATGTGCTATATACATATATGATATAAAATATTTTAATTCATATATAAATAAAATATGTTTATATTAAAATGTTACTTACACATTATCATTTTTGTCATATTTATAAATATATATATATATATATATATAAAAAACTAATTATATTTGTAGATATACCTTTAATAAAGCTCGTGTCTTTAATACGCTTTCCGTCTCATCGTGAATAGGATGCGCTGATTCAGTTAACGTTACTTCTATAGTTACAAGCATGTTTACATATGCAAATCCGACATTTGGAACAACGACAATTTTTGATAGATCAAAGTTATTTATAACCTGATTGGGTAAAGGCACAGCCTTAAACTTTGATCCATGCCAAGCTAAAGCGATTATTGTTGAATTTTTTAATTGAACTAGTAACAAAGATTCATCTCGATATGTGTTTAATGGTATAGTAATTATCCACAAAATTTCATTTGTTTCTGTGAAGTAAACATTTGTTTTTGTTTGTTTTATGTTTATGGCAGGGGTTATTATCTTAATAAGATGATAATTACTGCCTTAATAAGATGATATTATCATTTTACCATCAAAATGCAGATTTATGTCAGAATTATCTTGAAATTCGTTCTCAAAAAGGTGAAATAAACGCGGTTTCCCTCCACTAATTGCTAAGTATTCAACATAACCACTCTCAAAGCAGACAAAATTTGCGAGTTTGTTGGATTTGATAACTTCCAATTTTTTATACTGACATAATTTATCCTCATGTTTCGATTCGTATAAAATAACACTTTCGATTCCTTGAAAAGCCAGCACGGTGCGTCCATAAATTGGACAAACTTGAACATCAAATACTTTTGGAATAAATAATCGCTGGCAAAACCTGTGTGATATACATACATTTTTATACATAAATATTGTATTTATGTATTTGTTATTTTTTTTGTAGACTGCCGTAAAATTTAATTTTATAACGTACTTATGTCTAAAATATTAGTAGGGTAGACCGGGGAGTAAAGGGCCACTTTTGACATTTTTTGCTATAAAATAAAGAATATTTAACTCACACAGATCGTGTTGATATTTTTCAAAACCAGAGTCCTTTGACTATAAAATACATGTAAGAAAGTATGCATATATACCCTTCATTACAAAGATATCGTAAATTTTACAGAGGAAGTCATTCGGCA